CATGGGAGTCAAAAATTCACTGGGTGTGATGTTGTATCATATATTCGCATTAGATTATATTATATTATATTCGTAGATTATACATGTAATTTCACTGATTTCTGAAAAAAAAACAATATTTCCTTTTAACTTAGTTAATTTAATTTTAGCAATGAAAAAAATAAATATAAATAAATCCCAGTTAATAATTAAACCGTAGTTGTATGTGACAACACATTCTGAAAAAATGCAATAGGAAAAATTATCTATACACACTGAAAAAAAAAAGACACATGGAAAAAGCATTGTTACCAAAAGTGCTGGATCTTGAGTACTTACCATGAAAGCAGCTCTGTCTATGAGAGAAATTGACTCCTTGTTGATACCCTGTGTGAAATATTGCTTACGTACTCTGGCCCAGTCATCTCGTTTACATGCAGTCAGTGCTGCTATTTTTGTACTTTCCTTAACAGAGTCTGATTCTGTGAACAGAATATTAACAAATGTGGTAAAAAGCTGTAGACTGGTTTACTGTTTAAACTCCTATAGAATACTGTAAGGCCGATGGCATTCAATTTCACTATTTTAATGTTTTGAGCAATTTCACTAGGTATTAATTTAAAAAAATTAATGCAGAGAAAATTTGAAGAGAAACAAAGAGTTTTACTGTTATTTACATGTTCACATGGATTTAATTTAGCAAATTTTACTTATCAGTATACGAGTAGTGAATTTATTTATATTGCCGTGACACCCCCCCATCATTCTTCTCTTTTACAATACATCCTTCACTGTTAAAGCGGGAGGGTCGTCACCTGCGTACATGCGGGAATTGAGTTCCAATTGATGATAACAACACACGCTAAAAACGCAAAGGCTGTGGCCATCTGACGTATGCGCAGGTGACGACTCCCCCGCTTTAACTGCTTTGCATTCAATTGGATACTCTTTCAGATTCAAGATGTTTCTCACTTATTATGGAATCTTCAATGAACCGCTAACAAAATTAAAATGACAAGCATGTCTGTACAGTATTCAAATGAACATACATGTACCTAGTACATGATCACTGTGACGTTTTTGGGACTACTTTACTGCATGCATCAGAATACATATTTTTGTAATGGTGTTATGCCACCTGATCACCCAAGTGTATTGATATGTAAAAAGTAGTGCAGTTGGTGTAACTGAAAATGGCAGAATAAACAAGAAGTTAAGTTTGAAAGCAGTCTCGTTTCTTTGATGTTTTGTGTGTTCCTGAGTCAACACATCACAATCACAGAGAAATTCCCCGCCAAATCACATTTTTCTGCCTTATAAGGCATAACTGAATCAGTTAAGTAGATGCTTACCCAAAAATGAAAATACCCAGAATTTAAATATTTCAGAATAACATATACTTCAGGGCATAAGGATATTTGACTTAAAATAAGTTGGGTCATCAAGGCTTAATTTTCAAGAAAATGATGATGTATTTTAGTGGAAATTTGCCATTTTGGCAGTATTACCGGTATAACGCTTTTAACATAGGTTCCTAACACAGAGATATTATGACATATTTCAAATTGTAGGCTGGTGACATAGGCTGAAAAAATCAAAAAAATCTGGGTTTTGTAAAATGTCAATTTGTCATTAAATGTTTTTGAAAAATATTAACTTATTAAGATATGTCACTTTATTACACAAAAGGATGTTATTTCATTTATACCAATGAACAGTAGCTTCATGATTTTACATAATAAATCAATGAACATTGTCATGCGATTTATATGACCAACTTTCCTAATAATTATGAGTAGGCTACAACTTTAATTCAAATTGGTGAGAAAATATGTTTTGAGAAAAGTTTGTTTTACTCACCGAGTTGTGTATCCGCATCTTTTATAAGCCACTCAAGTTGCTTTGCTGTTGTCATTGGCGACAAGAGTTGACCTTTGACATCATACATGTCTAATTTGTAATATACTCCTTTTCGCATGACAACGATGTGCTGAGAAGAAGAAGAATTTCCAAAATTAGTAACTTAAAGCACTACAGTCATCACAAATTTTGTGTAAACTAACAATACATTTTACACACTTTGTATGCGTTGCTTTGGGTCCCATATCAAACATGACTCAACACTATCTTGGTATAACTATGTGTGATGTTCATACCAAGTTTGAATAAAATGTATCTCCCAACTGTGTGTGATTTTCCTATCCAGTTTGAATGAAATTGGTTTTTGGTATACCCAAGAAATGGTTCATCACACACTAAAATGTTGTGTTTTTGTGTCTTTTCAGTGACAAAACTGCCACCAGTCAGTCAAAAATGAATTATGTCTTGACTACATGACTATGTATCAAAATCAGCCAAATTTTAACGGAGTCAGTCAAAGCCAGTATCGTTGTACAGATATACAAACAGGTGCATTGAATTACTGGGTAATAACTAACATCAAATTAACAAGCATTGCGACTTTACTCTCACAATATTCTTCCTAATTCTATAACAATACCACATAAAATTTGCCATAATATTTACCTTCGACTGTGAGGAATCATAGTGCACAAGTTCATCCATTTCTTCACCAGGAATTCTAAGAATGGAATGTATTTGTTAAAGGATACATAAATTGGTCATTCTGTGATTAGCAAGCTATGGTAGTTTCACC